CTTCAATATTATAAAAATAAGAATCTGTAGTTCCACTTTTTTGGAAAAATAGTAAATTTGATTTTAATAATATTTTATCAGCAAGAATGTGTTAAAAATATTTGTTTAATGATCTTATATTGTGGGAAACACAATATATCGAGTGACACTCAAATGCCAAAAATTCAAATTTAGGTTTAACTGCACAAGTTCGCAGTCTAGTCATTTCAGCATTAACTTTAACTGTTGGTGTTTAGCTTAACATCGATTAGATGGCGCGCTCTAGCCGCAACTTTAGCACCTAATCGCAGTTCGACCTACATGGCTGAACTGCACTGATTTTCCCTTCTTTTCCCCGCCAATGTATATGTGGTTAAGTAAAAATTTTGTTATAAAAAAAAAATGTTTAGTGTGTTAAGTTGGGGGTTTTTTTTTTATGTGTCTGTGATATTACTTTTTTTTGTTAAGTTTGTTTTAAGAACAGATATATTAAATAGGTTTATTTTTTATTGTGATTATTGTTTATTAGATTTCTAGTTATAGGTAGGTAAAATTAATATTGGTGTCATTCTGAAAATATTAGTGTTGTGCCAAAAAGGAATTTTTAAACCAATCGTGTAACCAAAAAAAATATATATATTTTTTTATAATTGTTTTATTTATATTTAGTATTTATTGTCCCACCAAGGCAATTTTTCAAATATTTATTTACCAATATCATTGCAATTAATTGTTATTTTTTTATAGTTTTGTAAAATTGCATTTTATTATCATATTATTGGTTTTATTATTATTCTTAGTTTTAATTAAACATCTATTGTTACTTAGCCATTTCACTCCTCTGATTAGTGTAGGCGAACCCTCCCTATTCAGAGTACTTGTGTTTTGATCAGAAGATTCTTCCCTTTCCTATTCAAAAATACAGTCCACTCGTTCTCTATAAAGAAATTATAGGTGCCGGGTTTAGCGGCATAGTATTTGCAGCCCCCTTTTAAACAGTTGGTTTTAGCGGATTATATGGAAAATAGTCTACGTTCAAGCCCTTATCCGATATTATTCTACTGCATCCAACATAAAGCATGTTGCACAGTAAATTCTTTTTAGGCAGATAAAACGCAACATTTCCATAAGTTGCCCCTTGCGATTTATGAATAGTCAATGCCAATACCTCAACCAAAGGTAATTGTGTTCGAGTAACTTTCCGGTTCTCTGAGTTACCAATTTGAAGTTCCAAATGCGTAGTTTCGAAAGGTATTCAAAATACCAGTCGTCAAATATTTTTCTTTGAGGGGACATGTTCCCTTTAAGTTTTTGTATTGTAATAGAACCTACTTCTGGCTCATCAAATTTTGTCCACACTCTATGGACAACTTCTTTATCACTAACAGTTACTGTACGGTAGATTTGCATCAATTCACCAATAGCACCATTTTAGTAAAAATTTTTAAGTAATCCATTGCTATTTGTCTTGGAAGTTTTTTTGCTCAGTGATATCCACTTTTCTACCCGTTGTATCAATTGCTTCAGACACAAAACTAGTAGTATTTAAACTACTTAATATTTTTCTATTCATATCACCTACCTCTTTATTTGTGGTTTCTCATATCACTTTCGTCACTATTAATTCTATCGCAGTTGAGTATTTGGCCACTATTTGATCAAAATATTCGTACAGCGGTGTGGATAAAACTGTTAGTTATTGGTAAAATTCATCAAAAACAATCACATTTATATCACCAAATGGTTTGTCAATACGTAGAATATGTCTAAGACGTTAATCAATGTAACCAAAAGTATTTAAGCCAACCATAGAAATTTTATCAATTGTGAGTAGTATGACTTTAGCCAGTTGACACAATAAAGTATTTGATAAGTCAGCGCCAAGTTTTATTAATATCCTAGAAAAATTATTGATTGGTAATTTAAATGCAGTATGAAGTGTTAGACCTCTTATTCCGTATGTTGCTTTGCTTGTAAGCGCTGTGAGTAACATAGGAGTAAGTGACAAGTCATCTATATCTGGCCTGAGATTAGCTATTCTAATTCTAGATTGAGCTAAAGTCCGTATAAGAATAGATTTACTAGCCCCAGCTACATAACATAAAATACTATGTGTACTTGGTTCCCATATTTGCTGTCAAAGTACATTAGTTACATGTTAGAGAATCATACGTTGACCTTCATAAATAAATTTCACTAGGTTCAGTGCTCGAATTGGGGGGGGTGCGCAGGGGGACGTAGCTCCTCTACTTTTTTTTAAATTTTTTTGCGCACCCCAACTACTTTTTTTTATAAAGATGGGAGGACGGTGGAAAATACCACCTCTTTTTTTTTTCTTTAAATATTAGTATGATAATGAAATATGATTTATTAATAAATACTAAATAAAGTATTACTAAATAAAGAGTAAAAAAAAAAAAAAAGGTCTTCAAAATACTAGGGACGCAGTTTTCAAATTGTTAAGTTGAGCTCCCCTACTTATTTTTGGCCAATTCAAGCACTGACTAGGTTTATTAACGAACCTAGTGTTCGTTATTAATTTTATGTACATTTCATTGATTTCATTATTTTTATCTCAATTGTCAGCATCGCCATTGTCTTATATCCAATCCCCTACATCCAACATTATCTCATCATGTGGGATCCAATCACCTGGTAATTCAGTCTCATTAATATCTTGTTGCTTTTCAACGTTATTTATATATTCTTCTTCTTTGATTGAACTAATAATACATTTGTTCAATATTTTTTTCATATACTTCTTGACAATTTATATCTTCTATATCACTGCATTTATTTCTCCAAGGAAAAAACAACATAACTCTTTTCTTATAAAAGTCAGCAGGACTTATCAATACTAAATATTATGTATAGAATAATTTTTCGAATTTTACGCTGTGCATTAAATTGTTGGGTTTCCCAATTAAAACATAATTTTCATCAAATACATTATCATTTGATTCAGTGTCTATTTTATTATCATACTCAGAATTATCCAACTTTTTAGATGATTTTTGTTTACTTTTAAACAAACAGCTAAAGTTAAATTTTCGTAATAATGTGGTCTACATGAATAATATTCAGTGAAGTTGAGAAAGTATTAATTTTACTATGATGTGATTTTTTTTGTGTCTGTCATTCTTTTTTCTCAGTTCTTAATAGATCAATTTTAATAATAAATACATAAAAAAACATGGATTTAATCTAATTGAACTTATAATTACCAAATAATGGAAAAAACACTTTAATTTTAGAAATGTAGACAAATATCTCAAAATTACGGTACTGTAAAAAATTATAATGTTATTAAATTAATATGTTGAAAATAATTCGTGCTAAATTTCAATTCAAAATGTCATTTTTAACTTATTATTTGATACTTTAACTTTGATTTTTATGAAAGTTTATAATTTATATGTGTTCTTGCAACATCAAGAGTTACATAGAAATGATTACTAACCCTTCTATTCAAATGATTTATTAAAATAAAAATACAATAAAACGTTTTTATCAATATTTTAGTTTTCCTTATAAATTTATTGTTATTAGTAATTATATAAATTTCTGATCACATATTAATCTAAAATTATAATTTCATTAAAATTGGTCAAGTAAGAGCTGAGAAAATTTTAAGACAGACATAAAAATAAACCATATAGTATTATATTTTAATATAAATTACAATGTCCTCTCCCAAGGGGAGACCAAAGTGATAAGATCCTCGATATTCATTGGATATTATTTATTTTAAATTTTTTTCCATCTCAAAAAAGAGTTAAGAAAAAAAATGTAAAAAAGAGATTTATTGACTGGTGGGGTCCGAATTCGTACCCCGGTCGTATAAAACCGTTTTGTATACGACGCAGCCACCGTATATTATGCGAATTTCTAGCTACAAAAGACAATTTAAGCTAGTTCTTAAATTCAAAGCAGCTTTTTTTAACTTTGAGGAGGCAAAAGAATTAAAATAAGTATAAATTTATATTTAATGTAAGTTAGATTTATGTAAATTTTATAAAAAATGGTATACTTATTACTATGACTTTAAAATAAACAAAAAAAAAAATTAAATTTGAACACAAAAATAGTATGTTTTTTAATTATGGCAGCCAATAGCATATATAAGATAAGCGGTCAGGACAAATTTTTTTTTTTTTAATTTATAGTATATAACATAGGCTTTAATATAACATATGATTAAAGGACACAGTATTTCCGGAACATTTTCAAAAGTTCTACTTTTTATACGTATGTTTCAAATTTTGAATGCCCCTTGTATAAGGGGAAATTGCCCGAGTAAAAAAATAGTATGTGGGAAGAAAGGGGTTTATATAATGTATTTAGAAACAAAAATTTGTGTTTTTGTAAAACGCGTGAAACACAAAATGTGGTACAGTTTAAATATCAAAGTATACTGATTACAACAAAATAGTTCTAAATTATAACTTTCAGTGTAACGTTTTAATGCATAATGAAGCAACAATTAAAGGTTCACTAAGTAAAAATTCATATTTAGTCAGTATATAATTTGTGAGATATTACTAAGAAATAATACACATAAACGAATGTATACACACGCATTTGTTTATACCGATTACCAAACACAAACGTAATTAGGAATCGTAAGACAAACGCTATTTCTCATTTATTAAAAAAAATTGCTTTATTATATATCGTTTTACTACCATTTCCTTAAAATTCAATTTCCAAAGAATCATTATTTATGAAAAGCCTTTTAAAATTAATTTATTAGGAGTAATTCTATGTTTACATTTAAATTGCTTATAAATATTTAATGTTATTAATTTATAGACTAAATATTTATTAACAGTCTTGTAACATATAAAATAGTAATATCACTGTTATTAAGAGTTTTATACAAAGATAACATTTTTTAAAGAAAATAATAGTTATCAAGATTGATAATAAGTTACCATCGCTATTTTGTATACTAGTTCTTCATGATAGTGGTTATCTATATTCTATGGGTATTCTGCTGAGACATTGATAGTGTTATCAAAGTTTTATTACTAACTAATTTTTAACTTGCAAAGTTAATTGAAAGTAATATATTTTGTAAGTTAGAAATTTTATTCTTATTTATGAATAAAACATTTGCTTCATTAAAATTTCCGTAGAAATGTAGAGTATCTAATTTTTATTATTTGAAATTATGTTGTAACTTGTTCGTTATGAGTACTCTTGAAGAAATCGAAGCTACATATGTTGTAGTTGGTGGTGGTATTGCAGGAATAAGTTGTATTGAATCGTTAAAGTTATATACAAGTGATATAATATTATTAATTTCTGAAACACCCACAATTAAAATTGTTACCAATGTAAAATATCATACAAAACTTGCAGCAGAATTTGATGTTGAAGGCAGAAGTGTGCATTCTATTGAAAATATTAAGTATATTATTGGAAAAGTTATTTCTATTGATTCTCTTGCACACATAGTTTACACAAATAACAGTAAAGTAAAATATAAAAAATTATGTTTATGTACTGGAGCCACACCTAAACTGATAAATAATCAAAATTATGTTATTGGTCTACGAGATACTCATTCTGTAGAATATTTTCAATCAATTCTTGGTCATGCTAAAGAAATATTAATTATAGGCAATGGTGGTATTGCTACTGATTTGGTTTATAAATTGAACGGTATTAAAATAATCTGGGTCATTAAAGATGATCATATAAGTTCACACTTTTTAGATGCTGGTGCTGCTGAATTTTTTAGTGATTATGTGAATACAACCCAAAAACAAAGTGGAGTTGTTAAAAGACATAGATATAAAGGTGAGGAAGGAACTAGGGCAGCTTTAGGTCCAGATTGGCATAGTGGCCCTATGTTTGGTAATAATAAAAATAAAGAAGTTATTGTTGAATACATGACAACCATAGAGAGAATTTCTAAGAATGAACGAGTAAAAGTAGAGTTGGCAAATGGAAAAATATATGAATGTGATTTTGTTGTATCTGCAACTGGTGTTGTACCAAATAATAATATAGAATTGAAAAACAATGAACATTTTTTAATAGCTCCTGATGGAGGCATAAAAGTGAATTGGAAAATGGAAACCAATATTCCTGATGTGTTTGCAGCAGGTGATGTATGCACTACTGATTGGAAATCTGAACATTGGTTTCAAATGCGATTGTGGTCTCAGGCAAGACAAATGGGAATGTATTCAGCAAAATGTATGTATTTTACCCATATAAAAGAAGAATTCTATCAAGATTTTAGTTTTGAACTTTTTACACATGTGACTTGCTTTTTTGGATTTAAAGTTATACTTTTAGGTTTATATAATGCTCAAGGATTAAACAAAAAAGATTGTGAACTATTGGTACGAGTGACTAAAGGACATGAATATATCAAGTTAGTATTGGAAAAAGGAAAAGTTGTTGGAGCCATGCTTATAGGAAATTCTGATCTGGAAGAAATGTGTGAAAATTTGATATTAAATAAAATAGATGTTACTAATCTTACTGATGATTTACTGGATCCTAACATAGACATAGATGATTATTTTGATTAATATTTTATTGTATATATATATATATATAAAAAAAAAAAAAGGAAATACATGTATACTTAAAATAAAGTTACAAATTACTTTTTATAAGGTGATCTTGACCTATGTCTTCTTGATCTATCACGATCATGGCTCCTACTTCTTCTATGACGGTCTCTATCTCTTCTATCACGATCTCTACGGTCACGATCACGATCTCTATCTCTTTCTTTATCCCTATCTCTATTTTTGTCTCGTTTATCACGATCACGGTCTCTTTCTCTTCTTTTATCTCTTGCTGGAGACCGTTTCTCTCTACTATCTTTTTCTTTCTTTTTTTCTATAACTTCTTCTTCATCTGAAGATTCAATACCTTCATCAATATCTTCTTCCAAAATAGATACTTTGGGTTCTAGTTCATTATTCTCTTCTAAAACATGTCTACTTTGAACACGAGGTAAAATAACATCACATACACGTTCTTCTCTTAATAATGAATCAATAAATTCATCCATATAAATAAGTTCAAATTGTCCTTCACGATTTTGACTCCTTAATTTACGACTGTCGGCCAGTAATGGTTCCAAATATTTATAACAATCTACTGAAGAACCTGTCAATCGCATATAATATGCACCTAAAGCTCGAACATATTTGAATTCTTCATTTTTTATAAATTCTACAATAATATCTTTTTCTGGTTGTATTTGCAGCATTTTTAACGTGAGACAAAGGAATGGTGTAGGTTTGATATTTCCACCATAAACACCTCCAATATAACGTATTGACATTGCTTTGTCCACCAACAGTTCGGCTGAAAGAGCAAAACATTCTTCTTTCCAAAACTTGTTATCATAAATACGGGAACGGATAATTTTTTCAATTAAATATTGAGGATTAGTTCCATGTACAGTCTTTGCATCCTTTACAGTACGATTGGCCATTCTTGTTAAATAAATTCATGCACTTGCTTAACTAAATTTAATTTCATAATTCTTTCCAAATGGTTTTGAAGATCTTGAGCACAGGCTATAGTACTTAATAAATTTTATACAACAAAACTTTAATCCTCAAAAAAAGACGCCGTTTTACCAACGCTAAAAACAAATTTTAAGTCTTTCATACACACCGTTTAGATAATACAAATATGATGCTATGATAGGCTGCAAAAGATGTATTTGTTATCTTTATGTTACCTACTATTACCACTATAGCCTAATAAATACTTGCATTTATAAATCTGCAGTTACCACCTTTATATTATAGATACCACGGTTTTCATGAGTTTTTATCTAAAAACCATGTTGAAACTAATATTTTTATTACATCGATTTTTTAATAACAGCTAATATAATCATGATGAATATAATTTATAAATTCCGAATCGAATTAAACTAATCACTCTAATCTTGTGTTCTTGAATAGTAATGTAAGGTTACGTTAACGTTGAGACAATTTTCTTTAAATTAAAATAAAATAATTTATACATATTAATGTATTAGAATGTACAAGCATAATAAGCCAGCTGTATAGATATTAATTTTTTATTACAACCATTTTAAATAATGGGTTACTGCTTTAGGTGACGGTAATAACTAGGACTAGGAATTAAATGTATATAAAAATTTTATTTGAGCCACTTTGAAGGGTTCTAATTTTTTGCAACTATCATTAATAAGTATATAAATATGTTTCGTTTTAAAGGGGATAACTGTCCTATGTGTCCAGAACTATAATCTCATGAAATAACTTTACATTATTTTCAAGGCAATAAAAATGTTTACGGATTTATGATATTCAGAATAATCCAAAAATGTATAAATGCATATAATTTCAAGCCTTGATAATTACGAATTAACCAACAACAAAAAATTATTCAATGAAACTATGCTTGAAATTAAAACTTTGAGGCCTTGTTAGGGATAACGTTTTGCGATTAGTACCGATTGTAATGAAAAATTATTTTTTAAATTATATGTTTGATGTCCAGTGAATATACTGACACTATCTTTTAATATATTATTTATATAGTGCATGTGAAAAAATAAAATTTACAATATCGTCTTCAGGTAACCTCAATAATAATAATAAAAATTTGAAAAAATTTACTCGTTATTTTTTTAAATGAGTTAGTAAAATATAAATGTTCATCTATATTGATACAAATTTCAAAATATTATTCTTATTAAAAATTTGAAATTTTTTTAAAAGAAATTTAATATAACTTCTTCATATATTTTTTAATGAGGTTGAACACTACCATACAAAAATATCAATTAATTTCAAAAGGTTAAGTTGATCAGGTTTCATAATCCATGAACAAGTATTGAATGCCTTCTATATACCCTTAGATAAATAGATGACATTTTGTATCATCTTTTATAGAAAAAATTATGTTATATTTTTTTTAATAATTTGTTTGTTATATTTTTGTTTAGAAAACATTAAAGTACTTAGAGAAACTTATTTTTTATGTTGTTAAATAAAATGTTAATAAAAGAAGTATACAAACAACATAAATGTTTTAATTAAATATTAGGGAACATAGATTAAAAATGAATTTAGTTAAAGCTATTTTTATTTATTTTCAGTTTGTGCTTGCTGTAATTTGATCTCTAGTACTTCTGTTATAACATTTTGAAGTTTCTGTTTTTCAATTCCAATTTGTTGAATGCTTTCCATTTGTTCAACAAGAAAGTTAACACGTCTTTTAAAATATTGAATCGCATCATCTATTTCAAGACGCAAGTAGTAACCAGCTCCTATGCATACGGTAACATATTCAGGATCAGCCAATTGTCCGGCAGCATACATTGATTTTGTTAATGGTATCATTAATGATGTACCAGTTGGTCGACCTTTGGTACTTTCTAATGCTTCTTGAGAGCTCAAATAACGTTTTTGTGCAATTTTTAGAGATTGAAGTGAATCTTGAATTAAACTAACTTCTTTATACATTTGTTCCTTCATTTTAGCCAATTGTTGAACATTTAATTTCTTTAAGTCAATTAGTTGAGGTTGTGCCATGTTTGCAAAACTATTTAAAAAAATTAAGTTATTCGACTATGATATTATTCTCGAAAATAATCCAGCTATATTAGTAAATAAGCTTACCCTGAATTTTATGACTTGTAATTGTACTAATTATTTCTTTACTTTTGATTAACATGAATAAAATAAATGAGAAATAAGTGTGATATTCTTATCAAAAACATGCTAATGGCCGTATTTAAAATTTATCAGTAATGATAAATTTAAAGATATTTATATTTTTGTGATAAAAGCAAGGGTTGAACGGCGATGATTATCTGAGTCGTGAAATTGAGATCTCAAGGATAGATTCGTCATTATTGAAAAATATATAATTTTAAAAATCTATATAGAAAAATATTTAATTTCAAATGCAATCATGTATACTTCATGTTAACTATACGTTGAATATAAGTTTTTATTACAAATAATTTGTTTATAATATTTATATTAATTTAGTGCAATAATTTATTCTAATTTAAATATATTTATTTACTTATTGATAATAAAATAATGATGGCTCTACGTTTAGCTATCCGAGGGAATCTAAATTTTAGTTGTTTAATTACTAGACCTGTAGTATTTCGCATGAATCAATTAAATAGATTTAAACATTTTGATAATAGAGAATCTCCAATTTCCAAACAGAAAAAACAAGAAGGAAGCATACTACGTACAATGGCTAATGGGATTGCCATTGGTGTGGCTATTGGAATTGGATATTACTATTTCACAGATTTTGAAAAAAAATTACCAGGTTCAATTGTAAATACACCCACAACAGTATCAAAAATTCAAAAACTACCTGAAATTAAAATTACTCGCGAAGTAAGTGGTCAAATCTTAACTTTCTTCTAATTAATTGATTTAAAGTTTAATATTTTTAGGTACATTATCACAATGAAGAAAAAGCAGATTTTATTTTATTTCAATATCCCACATGTCCATTTTGTTGTAAGGTTCGAGCATTTTTGGACTACTTTAAAATATCATACAATATTGTTGAAGTTGACCCTATGCTAAAGCAACAAATTAGTTGGTCATCATATAAAAAAGTTCCAATTTTATTAGTTAAATTGGGTGATGGTTATATACCACTTACAGATAGCACCATGATAATATCAGCAATGACCACATATTTAAAAGATCCATCAGTTAATATTCAAGATATTGCAAATTATTATCCATCTGTGTCTTTTGTAGACACAGATGGTAAACGAAAATCTGAAATTATGAATAAATATTTTATAATGAATCATGAAGAATCAATTAAAGATAAACAACTAAAATTTGAGTAAGTTAGTAATTAATTGATAAAATATATAGTGCATTTTTTCTTTTGTAATAGTGATGAAAGAAAATGGAGAAAGTGGTCAGATGAAGTTTTAGTACATTCTTTATCACCAAATGCTTACCGAAGTTTGCCTGAAGCTATAGATTCATTTAAATGGTTTTCAGTAGTTGGTCAATGGGAAAAAAATTTTCCGCTTTGGGAGACTATTTTAATGATTTATGGAGGTGCTTTTATGATGTGGATAATTAGCAAAAAATTAAAAAAAAAGTATACTATTTTATTAATTATAAATTAATATGCTATTCATTTGTAAATTATTTTAGGTACAAGTTAAAAGATGATGTTCGCCAGTCTCTTTATGATGACTGCAACATTTGGATGAATGAAGTAAAAAAAAAAGGGGAAACATTTATGGGTGGTAAAAAACCAAATTTAGCTGATTTGGCTGTCTATGGTATATTATCTAGTATAGAGGGTTGTATGGCTTTTGAAGATGCATGTAAAAAAACTGATATTAATATTTGGTATAGTAATATGAAAGCAGCAATCAATTAATGTTATTCCTATTTCAATTATGTAAATATTGAATTAATACTTTGTTGTTTTGTAATTATTGTTAGATAGGTAAAATATACTAAATAAACTATGAAAATTAATTATATTTTTATTATTGTGAATTAAATAGAAATATATTTTTTTAATTGTTTGGAGAATTCTCCACGCTAAAAATATATTGAGAGCATTTATTATTTTTAATTATTTAAAGTAATATTTCATGAATAAGTGCTATCCTAGGATATATTATAGTACTATTATGATGTTTACTGAGATGGACATTTGTATGATCACCTATGTATTTGAGCAAAAACTATAATCAATATTTATAATGATATATTTTACTATCAAAAGGTAGAATTGTACATATATGGATTAGAATAATAAAAAAAGAAAATGAAAAAAATATTTTATTCAGAAAAAATCATTTTTTATTTGCCGTTTTTAAACGTTTAGCATTAAGCATTTTTTGTTTTTTATAACTTTTTAAATATTTTTTGTATTCTTTTTTTCTTAGCCATGTGGGGTGTTGTACTTTTGGCTTTTTGTTTGATTCATCTTTATTTTCAGCTTTGTTTTCTCTATCAATTTGCATTTTTTCTTCTTCATCTTTTTGGGCTTTAACTAAAAAAATAAGTACTTTAGATAGAAGACTATAATAAATATAATGTTAAAAAGATGTTAAAGATATTAAAGCGCTAGTTAGTGGATAGGGTGTGTAAAATAGGTTACAAAGGTTTCTTTTTTAACAAAGAGTAAGAGTTTTTATAGTACTACTTCAATTATTATACATAACTAGACTATAAAATCCAACTAAATTATCTTGCACGCAATGATTAGGTGATCAAGGTATGCAATGAACGATTTTGCATTATGTAATGTATGTCAATATATTGATTTTATTACATATTCAAAATTACTATGCACATTATTAAAAACAACAAAGTTAAAATTACATGCTATAATATCCATTATAATGCTAGTATAATAAATATCAAAAATATTATCAATTGTACTTTGATTAAAAAAATATAGATAATTAACACAATAGCCTTTATCCCAAATATTTGTTGTTAATTACAAGGAGCCTTAACTTGTTAATGGAATCTTACAATGGCTGGGATACAATGTATGGGGACAACATGTATGTCTATGTTAAAATTCCCATATGGTTATCCATCTGGGTATCAGAAGCAAACAATGCAGCTGAATATCTGTGCTAATGCGGCGATTGAATGACACACTGCCCAACACCACACATTGAAAAAAATGTATGAATTCAATAAATACAAAAGAATGAAAAGGCTAATTAAGGGTAATAAATATTGTATGCCAAAAAATTTTATATATAAGATAATAAAATAAAAAATATTGGCGCATATTAAATATATAAAGATTACCTAAACAAACATGTTCTATTACTCCATCTTCTTTTATTTCTATTTCGCCAGCTTTAACTAACATATTCTTCAAGCGATCCAATTCTTTAACTCCATAGCGAATACGTTTGATTGCTCTCATCTTTCTACGCCATTTACTACGAAGACTTTTAGCCATATTTGTGAAATATAAAAAAATAAAGTCGTCAAATAATACAAGAAAATATAAAATCAAATAGAATAAGATATCCCAACTTGATTATTTTGAAAGAAAGCACATGACATTAATGTAACAATAATAACGAGATAAGATAAGAATTTTATGTTATCAGAATTTTTTAATAACCTGGTTAATATCACTTTTACAATATAAAAATTATTATAAAAATCATGTAAAATTTACATGAATAATTTAGGTAAAATATATATTATTTATATTTAGGTAAAATTAATAATTTACCTTCAATTAAAGGTTTTGCTGCGAAAAGGAAGTAATTCCATAATTTTTAATTTTAAGATTATTGTTAACAAGTTCTATATAATATATAAAGTTTGTAATTTTATTTATTAAATTACTTGATAACGAATGTATGAAGGTAATAACATTAGTCGTTGTCAATTCCCCAAACTGTCAATTTTCAAATTTAACATGTGTCTTTAAAGGATTTCAATAATAGTCTTTAATTTCATTAATTAATCCTAGAATTCACATTAAAATAAACATGATTATTTAAAATTTAAATAGTTTATTTATTATCTCTCAAATACGATTGCTTAAAATTGGTTAATTTGCCAAAATACTGTGTCGCTTTTGTATTTTTCTAGTATTTGAAGGAAAATTTTTTATTGTTTTTATTTGTTTTCAGTATTAGACGTCTTCAAATCCCCTAAAAGCCAAACCTCTTTACAGAAAATTCTTTGTTCAATCAATTTTGAGATTGTTATATGATCTAAAAGAATATAATTATATGATGTCATATTAAATTTTGATATTATAACGAAATTTTTTTTATAAGAGATATAAGACTATGTGTTATATGAATAAATTTGTATTTTAATCATAGTATAAATTAATGAATTACAATAATTTATAACTCCACTTGAGATATTAGTCTATAGAGTAGCTCATTTTAGATTTTATTGTAAAAATAAATTTAAAGCACAATACAATTAGTATATTATGAACAGAAATAGCAAATATGAGGCTTGTTGTTTCAAAAGCAATTCTATAAATATTTCAGGAACAAAAAAAATTTTAATTTTTAATGAAGTTATATGAGGAATACTATTTTTTATGATCAGTTAATGGTGCTATAGTTTTGTGAAGTGTTCAATCATTTTAAAGACCATGAAATACAATATAAATTTTAAGAAAATACCAAAAAGATTTTTTGAAAAAATTATGTTGTAGCTGGTTTTAAAACTACAATCTTCATATGACTTGTTGAAGAATGAAACATTAATAACAAATGCTTCATTGGATTATTAATAAGCAATTAGGAAAAACTATAGAATGTGTACTTGTTCTTATTATTTGAACGGTGAACGTGTATACACGTGTCGTTTAGTCTATTCCAACTTACCAATTTGTGATAATATATTCGTGATAAGAAATCGGTAAATACGAAATCGAATCTTGAGAGGGTAGTCTTACTGATACCTGCATACGTAATACTAAGTTGAACAATGTTATAGCTCCCTGAAATTGAACTATTTATTTAAAATATAGTTTTTAGAATTTTTTTTATTAGTTTTTTTAGTAATTTTAATTTTAATTATGGCGGTATGTTTTCATACTTTTATTTATTTATTTTTTGTATTGAATTTATTTATATGTTACAGCCACAAAAAGGAAAGACTGGCACTAAAGGACAAAAACAAATACTTGAAGAAAATTTGTCCACCCTGAATTTTTATCGAAATATGATAATTGCTGTTAGCTTAATATATATTGTGTATAATTTAGCATTTGGAAATGTTTTTTCACTTACGAATATTGTATGTTATTTTTATTTTATGTTATAGCATTATGACAATTGTGTGTTAATAATTTATTTATTTTACAGTTTTTTTATCTTTTAGTTATTGTATCACATGGAGGAAGTTATCGCTTTATGTCTTATATGGCAAATGCAAAGTATACAGAGAGTGGTCAATTGCTTGATTCTGGTACTGATTTAAATATGGAAGGAGGATTAGCCGAGTAATATATTTATTTCTTGAGTAATTTTATTTACAAAAATAAAAATATTCTTAAGTTCTTAAAAATAAATTAACAAAATTAAATCAAATTAGACTCTAAAAAATGTTAAGGCCAATACTAATAAAAAATTTGAAAAAAGTTATGTCTTTAAAACACTTTGGAGAATAATTTGTATGGTAAAAGGCAATAATCAACTGAACTTTTGTTACTTCATATCTAAATATTTGTTAATAATCTTGTAATATCAATAAAATAAGCAAATATTCATTATAATATATGTTATAATTTTTTACTCTTCTTTTCTTATATTTATAAGCACTTAATCCTTTTTGTTTTTCACTATAATAAAGAAAGTCAAATACATTATGAAAAATATTTTTAAAACTACAAAAATTATAAACTTTTTAATGTCTTATTATAAACTATCAGGGATCTAATTTTTTTTTTTTCTTCTGTTGATATTTTTTTTATTAAAAACATATGTTAGATTTGATAAAGTATGATTTAAAATTAATATTAGGTAATGTATCCAAATTTAACATCATAGAAGTAAGATGTTAAATAAATTGTACAGGGTGATTGACTAACTATGCCTCATGAATTATCTCTGAAAATATAAGAGTTATAAACAATTTTTTTTTTTAATCATTATGGATCTTTGATGAGCTGTTTCACGAGAAAATTTAAATTTTTACCACCATCCCTTTTGCTTAAAAATAGTGTCAACTTCATATTTTCAAATGGCAACACTATTTTTTTTTTATACCATTATATTTAGTTTAATAAAAAAAAAATGTTTTGTAAAAAAAATATTTTATTTTATTAAATATTAAGCGCTCCACGGCTCTCTAAAGTTTAGGGTTTATTAAGAAAAAATCATTACAGACGAGAACGTTATGGATCGTAAATCGATAAGCGCTACCACTTCTTATCAGTACACTAAATAATAACGATACTATATTTACCCGACTACTGTTTTATTTGTTAAATCCCCTAAACTTTAAATAGTAATATCTCGCTTAGAATTTATTAAAATTGATTTTTTTTTTTTTGAGAAAATTTTTTTTTTTATTTATAACAAGATTAATAAAAAAAAAACCTCGGTTGCTATTTGAAAAACTAAAGTTGATATTGATTTAAGGGTTGTCAAGTAGCTCAACAAAGATTTATAACAAATAAAATAATTACATATACGATAATACTAATATTTTTAAAGAAAATTCGTGAGGCATAGTTAGTCAATCACCCTGTACAAAAGTGATATTAAGTTTGAATGATTGAAATAATATTTAGTATTTAAAATAAAATAATATATTTTTAGTAAAAGTTCACTATTTATATGTAAAAATTCTGATAATTTCAGACATACGAAAGATTTAATTATTTTGACATCAGGATGTCAACTTTTATCAATAATTAGCAATTACTTTTGGTTATTATGGTTATTAGTAAGTGTATTTAAATTTTTATAATTCACTAGTTACTTATACTAAAAAGAGTTTCATATTAATTAATTTTATTATTTAGGCACCAGGAAGAGCATTTTATATATTATGGACTAATTTTTTGGGACCATATTTTATGCAAAGCTCTGCTGATAATATACCTGAGGTGAATGAAAAAAAACAAAAGAAATTAGAAAGAAGACAAAAAAGACAACAAAATGTACGATATTAACTTCTTAATATTAAATAATTGTATTGAGTTAATTGTTATTGATAAAAAAAAAAACTTTCTTGTGTCTATTGAACTATGATTTATTTTATATTATATATAATTATTATTATAAGTTTTCATTTCTTTCTTTTCTAATGTCACTTAGAATAATTTTGTGGATAACATTTTTTTTTGTATATTTAGTTTTTGTACTTGAATACATATTGTAAGACTATTAACAAAACATAAAATAAAAATGTATAAATTCAATATTGTAATATATAATGTTATATATTGAAAAAAAAAACAAAAAAGACGAGATTATGAATAAATATTATGTAACCTAGGATTCAAAGAACATCTTAACTAATAAACTAAACAATATAAATGTTTTCCAATGAACATTTTTAGTTATACAATCAGACCCTAATATATCAGTCTGTGAGCCCAGTACAATTTAATTTAGTTTAATTAATCTAAACAAGAATTATTCTAAAAAAAGTAGTAAACGCTATAATTTATACTATAAATAGTTATGTATAATAAATAAATATATTTATTTAAATTTTTTTTAGGGTCTATAATATTAATTTAATTGGGGGAGGGGTTGTATACAATATTTTCAAGTAATACTTTTCATATAAATATAAGGAGCATAAAAAATGTTTTTAATTGTACCTAAATTATTAATAATATTAATTTAAATAGTTTTTAAAAGAAAATTATTAAAAAAAAAAAAAAAACTTTTAATTTAATAATTATTTTAAATTGCAATTTGTGTACATCGGATAGTTTTCAAACATTTTTTAGTCTTTTGTCAGAAAACATGATAATAGTGTCATCAAAACTTTTTTTGCTGTATTATTATTAACCTTTTCATCTAAATATAATTTCTTCCGAATTATGAATATTATAAAATTATTATTTGTTGAGGTACATAATGGTACAAATGTACCAAATATTTATTCATAAATGTGATGCTGCATCCAGTTAAAACTCCTTTCAATATTCTTTATTATGATAAGTTATTAAGTTAAAAAATATACCATAGTGTTTAAATTATACTTTTAAAACATTCTAATATTGAAGGAATTTTTTTCAAATAATAGTTTGAATTTAATATTGTTATTTAGTGTCCCACCAAGTTGTTTAATAACTTTTGATTCTGCAAATATATATATATATTTTAAATATAATTTATACTATTTTGGCCTACATTAATTTTTTATTATTTATCTTTAATAAAGAAAAACGTATTTTTTTATTTTTCTGAATTTTAAAAATAGGCCTTTTCTTAAAAAAAATTTGATGGATCAATAACAACTCTTAGATCTAAGAACTTTTAATTATGCTTGTAACATAATAAATATTTATCTTATAGTTGTTATCAACTCATAAAATTTTTCGTAAGAAAAAATCTAAAAAAAAGACTTTTAAAATGTCGAAAAATTAAAAAAAATTTTTATTGAAAAAAAAGTGCGGGTTTAGATCCAAACAGTTCTATGTGAATGTTTTGTAAAAATTCCTTTTTTTTTCAGGCATGAATTTTTTATCTTTTAAAGAGTTCGATAGCTTAGCGTATTGAACTTATTTATTCTTAATTAAGAATCGAAGATGTTATTCACTGCAAATAAATACTATTTGTACCAAAAGGTTCTCTCTCTAGAACCATTTCTCTCCTAATTTAGTTTTATCAATATAATTTTATTATAAAGTTCCTTCGAAATTAACTGATGATATAATATAAATTCTGTTATAAATTAAAATTTATTGATTAATTATACGTTCAAATTAAATAATTATAAGATGAAAACTTTTCAAATACTTTTAAATTGGCTCTTCTAAAAAATCATATTTTTACATATAAAATCTTTTCAATCCAAGCCCGCAAAATAAAAAAATATGCTTTTAATGTTGTCTCAGACTGTAAAAATTATATAAAAATAGGTAACATAAAGCTTCGCTGAATCAAAAGTTGTTAAACATGTCAAAACGTGGTGGGCACTCCATACATACTCATATCACTATCAACATTTATAAGGCATATCAATAAACAAAATAATGTCTTAGTTTTCAATTTGCTCTTTTATATTTGAAAAATGAAATAATAGTTTAAATTCTTCATTGATATTTGAAAAATACTGATGTTTTTGAATATATTCCCTGAAATTCAGGAAAATTTCTGTTCATTATGATCTATAAATATTATGGAGTAAAAATAGACTAGGTAGTAAAAGTTGTAACTTGAGTGAATTGACTATAAGGATTGAGTAGTTTTGAAATACTCTTAAAGACAGATGAATTAGTATTACTCCAGATGTTATACCAAAGCAGCTCTTACAGGCCTTGAAATAAGCAGCTTATGAACTGTTGTAAGAGTACTAGTTCTTGACGCACTTACGTATATATACTTACAAATAAGAAAGTTTTTGATCAACTACAACGGCCTAGACCTGATAAAATTAAATACGTCGAACTGAAAGGTTTTAAGATAGTAATATAACATGGGGTAGATATTGTTAAGAGTTACCAAAATATTGAGTACTTCTTAGAGAACTCTATCTATTTGAAAAATTCAACTTCTACTAAAAAAATACAGATCTACATTCAATACTTTAAAGTGTTAAACGGATTTTAGTTGTTCGATTTATATTTTTTAATTTTACAATCAACATTATCAATGTTAAAAAGAGATTCATATTTACGGGAATAGTTGCGGATTGTATTGTAAAATTGATGATAGATTTTTCTCTGACCATTAAAATTGTCTGAATATGATCATTTTAAAATTGATAATGACTATTTTATGTGTAATTAAAATGTATAAGAATATATTCTACACTATTGTTGACGAAGTTTAAATTAAAACCACTATTTAAAATATTTATGTCTAAGTTGTAAGACAATTAAATATTTTTATAATAATATGTACTTAAAACTATCATTTGTAGATGGTTACAAAAAACGATTAATCGCACTTTTTTTTAACATTAAATCATATTCGCGGATTCTGTGCGAGTAAAAATGCATATAAAATATCAAAATCATGTCAACTTGATATTTAAAAACTACTCATTAGTTTTATTTTACTAATGTCTTTATATGAATCTACATAAATTAGTGAAAAAATTGAAAATTTATTTTTTCTTTCCCCTCTTTAAAAACTTTTAATATAGTCGTCCTTGACGCACGCGCAATAATGACTTTCTTTTGCAGAGTGACAGTACAGTGAAACATATTGTACCCTAACAAGAATGGTAGTCGACTTGGAGAATTGTAAACGCCAGTACACAGTTTGATGCAAAAAACTTAGTAAGTATTATCGTGTAATGATATGCCTTACGTAAAAGCTTACATTAATATAACTAACGGAGAATATTGCTGATTTTTAATTATTTTTTTTTTTTTTGTAATATTTTACAAATTGAAATGTTGATTATTTTCGCTAACTTTTTGCATATCTCTTATCTTTATATTGATTTAGAAAGTCACTAACGGTAATTTTTGTATTTGTTTGAAAATGTTATTATTATTGTTTTTCTATGTATGATTGTTATAAAAATTTGCGATCGTATTATTGTTCATCAAACGGAGGTTATAACTAACTAAAAAAATAAAAACTAATTAATTTCTATGCTAAACTTGCGATATTGGTTTTCTAATCATCTTTATTCAACATGACACTAGAGTTTTTTTGTCACATTTGAATATAGGAAATATTTTTATAATTTTGATTGCATTAAATATTGTTAAGGACAAGGAAGTTAGTACATGTTTATACACAACATTGTTTTAAGACATTATTAACTTAAATTCAACAAAATTATAAAAATTCATAGTCTACTAATTTTGATAAATGTCGGAGAAGCTATTTTTCATTTTAACTATGGGATAGGATTTTAGAAAAATATATAGCTTAAGCATAATTTATATTGAATTTATAATTCATAGAAGGAATTCTTACATTTTTTATTTCTCAACAATTATTTTAGTGGTTTACATTTTTGATTTCCTCGTAGACAAACATTATTACACATGGGCGGGTAATGGGCTACGAGAAAGAATTTATGTTCTCCAAAAAGAACATAAGTATATGTAATTATTTAACAATCCCGATTTAAGTAAATAAGTTTATCAGAAATAGGAAACAAAAAATATATTTCGAAGCCTATAGAATATATTTCAAATGTAATCATATTTTAGGTACCCAGAGTAGTTAAAGAAATCAAAGTAACAAGTTGATTCCGAAATAATTGAATTTAAAACTTGAGAAATGATATTTTTTAAATGTAGTAGGTATCAGAAATATAAAAATTTCATGTTACATCTTTAAACCTCTCGAATGATTGTTACTTTTTAGTTTTGTACTTACCTCATTTTTTCGAAAAGTCACTTTAATTTCATCGGGGTTTTGAGTACAACTTTATCTTAAATGTATTTTAGACAAGATTGATAGACTTTAACACATAATGACTACAAATAAGTATATTATAATGAGATCTTCACAAAAATTTAGTTTGAAGATTTATTTTAGATATTAAGTCGTATTATCAAAAATAGAAATGTATGACTATATAATATATATATATATAAAGTGTATAGTTATATACACAGCTCTCGATGTGTCCGGTGACAAAAGAGTTCCAAAATGTCAACTTCACTTTTTGGTATATCACTCTGTTGACAAGTCTCTCATATTTAATATGGAAGATTGGTGGTTTTTTTGATGTTTGCAAACAATTATGCCTACTAGTTCTAAAAATTGAGAATGACTGTCTGTATGGTATATATTTTCACACCAATAAACGACTTAGGTTCGCAGCGTTATTATTCTCGTGATTATTGATGATTCTTTGTTGGAATTACTTCCAATAAATAAAATTCATATATTAAAAAAAATTCATGAATATCAATTTACTATTTTTGTTGGGTATCAATCTCCTAACTGCTTGGTAATGATGACTAATGAATATGAAACATTGTTTGGCGTTGTTTAGTTTTAACAAATAATTTAGCGTAAACCTATTATGACTATTCTAATTCTATACAATTCTAGTGCAACATAATTACAACATTGCAGTAGTACATTTTAACGGTCTTTATTTTATCTTCTAGATACACGAGATGAAATATTTGGTGGCTTAGGTTAGTGATTGTGACTCGCTTTACTTTGTCTGCTTCTTTGTTCACATCTATTCCACAATGTTTTAAATACCATACAAATTTTCTTTTTTATTTGTTCGGGTAAGAAAGGTGAATTTACATAACTAAGGGATCTTTATTTTATTTTGTATTAGATAGCGTGCATAATGACTTCATTTAAGTAATCATTAATTTGGCTTAAGGAATAGATACAAGGGCTACCGCACAGTGCAGTTTTTTTTGTTTTGGCGTTTGTATCAAAAATCTAAAATGATTTACAGTAAAATAAAAAAACTAAAAGTCATCAAAAAGTGTGATTAGTATCATCTATAATTTTTCTCGGAGCCATAAAATACCTTGGAGATTTATTCACAATACAATATAGTCTTGCATTATATAATTTGCTTGTTTTTCTAATATGAGTAACGTTTTCAATATTATTTGATTGTTATGTCACTTAAACGCCTTAGGGAATTAAGCGACATATCTGTATTTACTTATTGTTTACTAAACCATTTTTAAAATAATGCGATGATTGTTATTTTCATACAATTTACATACGCATAAAAATAATTATCTTATTATAAGGCATAGTTAGCGTTATAATACATTTTGATGTCAACATCAATTATGTATTCTTTTTGTTAAATCATTCATCAATTTTTTACTTGCTATTTGCTACTTATTAGTAAAGTATTGTTCATTTTAATTATTAATAATCAGTAAACTAGTATTAGCCTCAGAGACACAGATTCGGTGGTTTGGGTCGGCATAAGTCGCCCCTTATCGCGTTTAGCTTTAGGCGTTTTTTATAATATAATTTATCAATGAATTAAAATTGAAAAATCAGTCATATATGTTAGCCCAATATTTTAAGCAAGATAGATTGCAATTGCACTGAAATATATAATTTATGGGCCGATAAACTTTATAAGTTCATGGTTTCAAATGTCAAAATACGCAATTAATAGTTACATTTCAATATTACTTCACAGTTTCTACATATTGTCATCGTTCTACTTCTTAATACGATGGAAAACTGGTTTTAACTATCTTTCCATTTTTGATTGTATGATTAAGTTAAAAATTGTTAATTTTTTTATCTATACTAATATTTTCTTTTTCAATTACTCAATGTCTTTACTATAATTTTGTAGCTAAAATGTGAAACTATTTTTTCCGTTAAAACGTTGATTTAATAATATTTCTTTCAAAAAAGGTTGGATTTTAATTTTTATTCTGAAGTGTTAAACAAGTTTGTTGAACTTCTTAATTTATTTAGAAAATTAACATTGATTTAAGGATAAATCTAATTAAGTTTTTAAGTATTTTTACTAGCAAAAACAATTCTGAGATTTTTTAAATTAATCAGTAATATTTATATAGTGGGTTCTTTACCTCTATAAATTAAAAAAAAAATTTAATTTAAGGTTTTTTAAGTGGCTAAAACACACTGATTTTGTATTTCCTTTGTTGTTGCACCATTAAATTAATAGAATAATGTTTTTAGATCAGCCAACAGATTAGAACACTAGTCTAGCTCACTGATTATACATCTTAAAAATAAAAAAATAGATTTCGAGTCAAACAAGTTAACTTGTAACAAAAATTAAAAAAATTAAGAAGAAACTTGTTGTCGATGAAATGAATTTCCTCAAAAGTATGTATAAAATAGAAATGTACAATTTATGAACATCAATACTTTCCGAATGTTTAATTTTGGTATATTGTTGGCTTAATAAGATAATCTAAATTTCTGAAGCAAAACATAATGTCTATAGAACTATTTTTTACTATAAAATGGGTATTGCGTGAAAAAATATTTGAAAGAAAATTATGTTTATCTCAGTACATAATAAATATTTTGAACTGCTTTCGCAGTTGAATACTACTCGTGGAATACTTACTTGAAATTAATTATGAATAAATATATTTATTTGTAGTGCAATAAAATTGGCTAACTTCTACAAAGTGATGAGCTTTTTTATTTGTCATTAACTAACTAACAAGTTAATCATAATTTAAAAGAGATGCATAAAAAAATATTGCTGAATAATAAAAAAGTTTTTTCAAATATTAAAGAGGATTTATTGTAAAAGATACTGAACCTCAACATTTCATCCATACCAATTTCATTATTGATAGATATTTGATTTCTATAAATTTAATTTCTTAGATTTATGGTTATTAAAAGATGAATAAATACTTTAATAGATCAGTAAATCTATTCATAGTTTTGAAATGCTGAATACTACACTTAAAAAATTAAAAAAAACAGTGATTGGTATTACATAACCTTCATATTTTATTTATAATGTAAGAGATGAAATTAACTCAGAAGTTATTGTCTAATAGTAGGTTTTGATGATGTTTTTTGTTATAACATTTTATATTATTTTTAACGGCTACTTCAAAAATTGTCATTAGAAACAATTTTGTTTTCTTTATTAAGGTTTCCTTAGAAATTCAAATAATTACTTTTTACTTAATATATTTATTTTAAAATATATATACAAATAAATTCTTTATTTATTAAAAATCTAAACTTATTAAAATAATAGAGTGTGACGACGTTTTTAAGATAATTTTTGAATGACAAGTCAAAGTTTTTCAGATAAATAATAATGTAAAAATATACACTATTGTTTTAATGCAATTTTATTTGAAAATAAAAATCACTTTTTAAATACAAAGATAAATTCAGAAAAAAAGGCTAAATAGCGTTTTCAATTTTTTTAGCTTTTATTCGAAGATGAGGAGGTAATGGTTTTATTAAGATGCATTTATTATTATTTTTTGTTTTGTATTTATCGCAATTTTTTTCGGCTCTTACTATACCAAGTTTGAATGATACGTAAATGATTCAACATAAGTTGTAACTGGTTGAAGACATTGACCTCAATATTAAAGAAAAGTCCCTTATTCCTTGTAAATAAAGGAAATCCTCAAAAAAAATAAAATTTTAGTAATTATAGTTTTTTTTTAGAACTGTTTCTTAGATATGTTTATTTTATTAGACTTAATATTTTTTATTTTTGAAAATCCGACACTTTACCTGCCTACAAGGAGGTTCAAAATATCAACTTTAATATGAAAAGTGATCTTTTCAAAATATTTCAAATAACATGCGTCCTCTTTAAATAAATATTTATTGTAAGTTTAATATAACTAACTCACAAAAAAATATATGTACTATAATATATTATATAATATGTACAAACGGCCCTGCAATTAAATAAAAGTGTTATTGTTGTGTAAAAAACACTATTGTATGAAAATTACAAACCCTTAATCTAAATGCCTTTTTTAAAAGCGTGAAATCTTTCACTGAAAATAAAAGATATGTTAAATAACTGAATGAGTTATATAAATGATTGTACACCTAAAATAAGTGATGAAATCTGTGAAATATTTAACCTCCTCATCAAGTTGGCCCATTTGGTTGATTATATTTATCTATACATTAGTACAACGTAACTGTCAATTAAAGAAATATTTAAGTTATTTATTGGACTTACAAAACTAATTACACTTTTACAAGTAGACATTATTGTAATAAAGTTATTAAACGTGACGAAACTTAAATGAGTTATTTTAAAATCTGTCTCGCAATAATACCTACAATTTGTACAATTAATCATTAATAATTATTTAAAATATTAATCATTAATCATCATACTAACATTATTAAGAAATGATTGGTGAAATACTTTATTGTTGGGAAGTTGTATTTCTAGGGAACAATAGCCTAAGCAATACTCTTTGTATTTTGCTACATTTACGTGTAATTCTTTATAAATTCATTTAAAGTTAATAAAATATTCAAATCTTAGTAAGCCCAACCAAATGTGGACAATTTCAATAAAATTTGATCAAAACTAATATGAAATGATAAAAACATTTTTACTTTAAGATTTTGTGAGTAATTTATTTTAACTATAAATGAAGACATATTTTATTTATTATTAAAATTGTAATTGCTGTTCATCGAAAACAATTTAATTCTATACCATTCACAATTATAATTTATTTAAAAATTTTAAGCCAAAAAAGGTTTATAAAAAAACATTTGTAAAAGAAATTTTTTATTTGAATTATAAGAATAAATAATCGAAATTTGAGTTATGCAATAAAATTATTATACTTGCATAGTGCGTATACTTGCGAGTTAATATTACATTGATTAGGTAAGTGCCCATGTGTTCGAGTATACAGTGCATAACTTATGAATAGTAACAAAACGATGACACATAAGACGACTAGATAGTTTTTAGAACAAAACATTTCGAGGATCGTTACGAAGAGTATTACGTATAATTCTGTTTGAATAATAGCAATTGAAAAGTTCACATTGAAAAGAGGACACGTCAAATATCATATAAAAGGCGGAGCTCTGTAACCATTATAATAGAGAGGTTAAAAAATGGTATACAAATCGAGTTAAAAATTAATGATGTTCGGATAGTCTTCTGTAAGAAAAATTTAGTGTTTTGTTAATCACAATAGCGAAAATTAGTTTTTTTAATTTAACTTGATAAATTATGCTTCAAATGGATGTACTTGTTGATTACCACTAGGGCTAATAACTAATGTATTATATAATTATGATTGAGTTTAATTATTTTATATTTTTTTATTACTCTCTATAAGTTATTACATTTAAAAAAATAAACATACTTTGGTAAAATTAATACCTTCTTAGTATTAAATCAAAGCTAAAAATAGGTTTCCAAGAAAATATATTATTTACATTTAAAGTAACATTTTAAGAGTTTATTATTTTTAGAGTTGTTTTTAAAATCGTTTATGTATGTAAATTCTTAAATTGAAACCTGCAGTTATTTAAATCACCAACCGCTTATTAAATTTCTGTTATAAGACATGGTGGTAAATGATTCAATGATGATTATCTAAATAAACAAAATCCTAATTAGCTACAACCATAAAATACTAAAAAATAATAAATAAACTAACTAATTGTTGATCTATTTTCTATTTTTTTTTTATAATTTTATTATAAGTTTAAAATATTTGACGAAATATAGAATTTTGTTGTGGAGCAATGTTATTATTTAGTTTTAATTTCTTCAAGTAAAAAAAATGTGTATATCACGCATACATTAGTAGTTCACAAGAAAAAATATCTACTAAAGTTCAAGAGATTCAATAACTAAGTGTATTAAAAATTCTTCTTCTTCCTCGCCTGAATCCCAACTACTTGGGGTCGGCCATTCTTAAAAGTATAGTAAAAATTAATGAACAAAATATAGAAAAATTAACATTTTTAAAACATACTTGAATAAATTTTCAATTTAATAGGAAGAACTAATAGTTTTACAAAATATTTTACAGTTGATTTTGCAACAATAAATGCGTCATTCGAGTGAGTAGTTAAATGAATCAGTAATGTTTAAATTAAATCTATAGTCACTGGGTAAAAAAATATTAAAGAGTTATAAAGTAAATTGTTTAGTAATGATTTGGTTTAAGTCACTATTGATGTACCTCAATATTTATGTATAAAATATATCAAAGTAGAAAATGTGTCAAAATGATTAAAGTTTAGTTCTATTAAATATTGAATGAACATTCTTTTGATAGTTTTTTCTTAAATGCAGGTTGTTTATTTTTTTAAATATTGTAGAGAATTTGAATTTTTTCAATGTTTTATCAGTTTCAATAGTGTGGGTATAAATTTTTGAAAATATAAAAGTCTGTTGTTTCTTGAAGTAGTCTTTTAATCGGCGTAATTAGATCTTAAATTATAGTGTATCAAAATTGATTTTTTAAAGATATTTTAACAAGTAGGACTATCCACTCTTTTGTTAAAAGTATTATAAAATTAATGAAGCTTATTCATATATTGAATATCACGTATGATTTTACCAAACTGATTAAGGAAAATATTTGATATCTAGACTTGTAATAATTGTTTTTTTGTGAAATCCTATTCATCGACACAACCGGACTATAATATAAAACATTGCTATTATTTTTTTTATGATAATTTAACTACATTGAATGGTATCCCGCATCGATTGGAAATGGTTAATATTTAGTAGATGTTTCGGTATTCATATTAAATTTTATGTATTTTTTTTTTTATATTTAAAATGTTTTAAAAACGTTGAAAATATTTTCCTATTGTTTCATATTATTTTTGTGTACCTTTGTAGTCTACTCTCATGTGTGATGTACGTAATTTGAGAGGAAGACAAGACTTGTTTCTAGTTCCCTATGTATTCCACTGATCTTCATAATAATTGGTTGATTTGGTATCTTTAAGATTTCATTTCAATGGCCTTTTAAAGTTTGTGAATTTTTGTAGCTACAAATGTTTTGCATTTGCATGGCTTTTCTACATTTCTATTATAATTATTATTTTTTTGAGCTGAAATATTCGTAAATTTATATTTATATTTTTAATTAACAATATAAAACAAATTTACGATAAATTTTACATCACTACAAACAATCTTATCTACAGCTATAAAAAAAATGGTTTTTTTCTTTATTTGTGATTTTTTTATTACTTATAAAGATTTAAATTTTTCAGGAATGTCGTCTGCTGAAGTTGCTGAAGCCATGGTTGGTGGTTGTTGGGAAAAACCAGATAAATCTTTTGATTTATCCTCGACATTAGATATAATGAGACTTCCAAGATCAGTGCAAGTTATTGCTTACAATGAGCTTCGAGAAAATGAATATACGAGGAATCACGCTCTTGTGGAATTCAAAAAGTGGATAGCAGACTGTAGAGATATCCAAGACGTAAATATTGGTAATTTCAAAATGTTCTCATGCCTTATAAATAAATTAATGTTGGTTTATGCAAATTAGATTCGAATTTTCTGTTGAGATTCTTAAGAGTAAAAAAGTACAGCTTGCCCATGGCTCAACAAATGCTTCTTAAATACTTGAATTTTCGACAAAAATTTTCTATGTATTTTTTCAAGATGGACTGTTTAGAACCATCTATCAATGAACTTGTAAGCGATGGTTTTTTATTTGTTTCTCCTTTTAGAGACAGCCATGGCAGACGCGTCACTATTACAATAGGAAGTAAGTTTTTTTTACTTACGAGAATATGAATGAATACTTTGAAAGTGTTTAAAATCTAAACTGCATGTTTCTATCTTTTTTTGTACCAAACCAATTTGGTTCATCTAAAAATGGATGCTCAAAAATTACTGTGTTAATACATAATAGAATACCCCCAATCTTTTTTAATGATTTTATATAAGATAATAGAGTTAGAGAGTCTGTTATTAACGCATAATCATACATTCGGGGATACTAGGTTTTTTTTTTTGATATATTAAAAAAATCAAATAAATAAATAATCCTGAAATTATAACTTTACGATTATTACTAAGCAAAAAGTTTTTCAATGACCATAAACAAAATCTTAGCAACTTCAAAATTTTAACTGAATGTGTATGGTTTTCTTTTGCATTTCAAAATAATATATATATTTATAGAATATACTTTTTTTTATAAATATTATATAGATTTTATGACAACGATCAGAAATTAGGATCTTTCCAATTTTTATAATAAGTATCTTTTAAATTAGAACCATTGAAATTATTATGTAAACTAATTGTTAAGTAAGACATGGGCTTAAAAAGTATTAACCTTTATGATAGTGCGTAATTCTAATTTAGACAAATGAATACTATACGTTCCATCTCGAATTGCTATACCATAATTTATAACAAATTGAGCTAAAGAAAAGTAAACCAGTTTTAATACGTGTGTGTTAAAGATAAATCTTAGATTACTAAAAATATAAAATAATTTACGAATTGAATTTGAGATATAATGAATGTGATTAGACCACGTAAACTTTTCATCTACTATAATTTCAAGGTATTTAATTACATTAATGTGATGAATGCTTGGTTAATGACAATTAGAGTTCAATGAACAGTTAAATTAATAAATAATAAGTAATAAAATATTATATAATGATAATATCACGTATTCATTAGTTTTGAGTAGTGATGTAATGAAAAAAATGTTCTCGGATTTTCTCAGTAACGGCAGTATTCTCAATAATTTTCCTTTACAGATTATTACGGGAGAATTAGTATTAAAAAAGAAAATAAAGCTAAATAATTTCTTTAAGAATAATTAACGGAATTTCAAAATTATTTGAAGTAATGAGTTAAACCTTTATGATCGAAAAATAATCATCTTTTACTTGATTGATTGTCGTACAGAAATAATAAATATTCTTTAAAAAAATTCGATTCTATGGTTTCTCAATTTTTTGCATTTCTATTACTTTTAAGATCCGTATTTATAGTTGATTTTTATGAATAACTTTTGCTAAAGCTATTCTTAAGTATATTATTTAGATAGCTCAAGTACAGTTTATTTAAAGAAATTATTATGACCTTTAATGTTTTTCAATACCTTCTTAATGTATTTGAATTTCTATGAATCCTTATATTAAATTTGATGCATAGATAAAAAGGTCTGTTCATAAAAATTCTCACTAAATCGATTTTAATAAATAGTACCTCAAAAGAATCTGATTTTAATCTAATCAAACTTGTAAGCCCCAAAAATTAAAAAAACTCCAAATTTCAGTAATGTAAAAGTATTACGCAAAAGAAAATATTAAACAATTTTTTTTTTTTGCATTTTAAAACTATTATAATTGTATAAATTACTAAACTAAAGGAAAATTTGACATAGTATATAAGAGATAATAAGCATATTTTTGGTATACTTATTAAGGATGTTCAACGACAAACTTAAGTACAATAAGAATTTGAAAGCAACACATATACATGTATATATAAATTATTTTTAACTTGATTTTTGATATTGTTCTGGAAGGATTTATAACTTCTAATTTATATCAAATTAAATATTTTGAGTATATTACAATATAAAAAAAAAATCCATTATTTGATTGTTCTTTTATAAAAAAATCTGTTATCAAAGCTAAAAAAATGGCAATTAAAAAAAACATTAAATTTTAGAAAATGTTCTGGATGATTTAACATCTTTTAACTTATACTAAAATAAAACATTTTATGGTGAAAAAAAAATGATCCCACGAAATTTTTTTATGAAATATCTGATTTTAAAGCCCAAAATCGAAAAATTTATGTAAAAATTTGTCATTATATTTATAAATATAATTACAGAACATAGAATAAAGTTTTAACAAAATATTACTTAATTGACTTAGGCCAATGAAAATATAGAAAATTAAAACAAAAAATATAATATGACTCAAACATCGGTATTAATTTCAGAAAATATCGATTTTCAAAAATATACAAAAAGAGACATAGCTTGCCTTCATTTTATGACATATGAGACGTTACTGAGAGATGAAGTTAACCAAGTTTTGGGCCTAACACATTTTGGAGATGTAGCAAATGTTAGTCCATCTATCTTATCAACATTCACACCAAATGAATTTGCTAGACTTGTAAAATGGGGAGAGGTGATTAAGTTTATTTTTTTTCTTCTAAAAATAGTTACAAGTAAATTTTACATTTTTAATTATCTAATTATCTTTAAAATATATTTTTTTAAAATAGGGCGACTACACCATTTAATGAGCAATTAAGAATATTTTATCTCTTAAAGTTCTTTATTAATTTATTATTTTTTATACTACACTCATAAAGATAATTCATTCAGAGAATGAACAGCTAAATATTGTATAAAAAATTGTAAAAATATAGTAAGATTCAATTTAGATATTTTCTTTTTTTGTGAAAATTATTAACAACATTTTGCTATAATCATATTAGAACATTTTTTAATTAATATCTCATTGGTGTTCATTCACTAGTAGTGACATTTACTGGTGATATTACCCTATATTTTATAAATTAATTAGTCTTACAATTTACCTGTTTTTAGCAATCAGTTCCAATACGTCACAAAAAAATTCACATACTTAATGTTCCATCAGCGTTAAAAATTCTGTACGATTTCTTCAAGACACGTATCAGTGAAAAATTAATCAACAGAATAACGGTATATATTTCAAATTAATTTTAGTGTTATTGTTGTTTAGAAGTGATTTTTTATTTGAATTTATAGAAATTTAGTTTGTTTGAATAAATGATATTACAATATTTTAAAATATTGTAATATTAGAAAGTTAATTTAAAATTATATCTAATTATTTTGATTAACTTGTGGCTTTAAAAAAAGGTTTATATAATTATCATGGGTAATTTTTTATGTTTATTAATACTATTTATAATTAAATATGTATTTAAAATATATATTTGATACTAAAAAATATATTTTTAATTTTAAAAAATATAGGCATGAGTGATCATTTCTTATTATATACTATTTAGGATTTATATTATTTATTCAATGTTACAACATGTTTAAGTGGTATTAAAAAATGAAGATAAAATTAATTTCTATTTTGTAGATGTATAATTCGTTAGAAGAATTACACAAATGCATCGACAAAAAAGTATTACCCAAAGAATTTGGTGGTATAATGCCAATGGCGGAAATGATCGGTAAGATTATTTTGAAATGTATGAGTAACATCTAAATTACTTATTTTTATTTTTATATTTAATAGAATTGTGGAAGAAAGAATTGCTTGCAAGTAGAGAAGCGTTGATTGTAATGGATAAAATGAAAATTTTAAGTGACAAGAACATAATAACAAGAAAAACAAGGACAGAAAAAACTAAAAGTATTACTAATGAAATTCACCTAATGAACGGAAGTTTTCGAAAACTAGAAGTTGATTAAATTCTTTAAATAATTGTTCATAGTTTAATTGGGTTAAGTAATGGAGTTGTGGATTTGTTTAGTGACATAGTTTTAATTCAACCAAAGAATGCTAGCATTTAAAATAATTGATTATTGCAATTATTAAAAATACTTTTTGAAATATTGTGAAATTTTATACTTTTCGTGAAACATAATTTTATTAAATCCTAATTCTAAGTAATAAAGGATTCTAAGTTAAATTAAAACCACGAGTTAATTTTTATATTATTTATTTTGAAACCTTTAAATGCTATTAAATTCCTCGTATATGTTTTATATCAATGTAATAATGAATGTTTTTATAAAATATTTGTTTTTAACTTATGCGTAGGGTTTTTTTTAAATTATTTAACAAAATTTTGATTTTGAAACAAGTTAATCTTAGCTGTACACTTAATGATAGTAATCAATTGTAATTTAAACATACTTACACGTAATTCAATTGGTTATACAATTGGCAATACTTCTTCTGAAAATAGAATAGTATTTTTGATTAAATATAATTGCATTAACCTATTTTTTTTTAAATTTGAATTGATAAACGTATTTTATGATTGAATTTTAAATATTACTAATTTTTTTTTTTTTAACAAAGTTCACCAAATCTTCACAAAATTTGAATTATATTATTATAGAATTTACTTTAGAAATTTTGTACTAAATATACATTTTTGAAAAGTGTTTAATAAATCGTAAATAATTTAATTTGCTGTTCTATTTTCTGAATAAAATTTATTTCGCGATGTACAAAATATTTAATATTTATCTGATATCTTTTTTTTTATTTGAATTATAATTATAAATATAAATATTTTTGTATTTTATTAAACAATAAAATGATTTTATTGGAAATTAAATATCTTGATGTAATAACCAATTTATTCAATTTTTGATTTATTAAAAATTATTATTTAAGAAAACTTTAAATAAAATATTTAATGAAAGATATTAATTAAGAATTTATTAAATTAGTTAGTATTAGACAGATAAATACAATAAAAATTATGGTTGCCTATCTAATACTCCTAGAAACTTTCATTCCTGTCAATTCTAAATTGACATATTTTTAAGAATAACTATAGACAATACATTAATTAGTTAATATAGAGTAATTCTTTAATAATTTCACAGATTAAGAATTATTTCTCTCTATTAATTATTTTTAAGTTTTATTAATTTAAATTAATACAGTAGAAGTCCGATAACCCGGCATCCAACAGTAGAACAGTAGAATACAATAGAACAAACTTTTTTGTATTTGCATACTGTATTTTTAGTTTAATTATTAACGTAATTGTTCTTATAGCAAAGCCTACACTAAAAGGAAAGGGCACCGCCCGATAGACCGGCACGTAGCTGGTCTCGAACGTACCGGATTATCGAACTTCTACTGTATTAATGATTTATTACTACCTGTATTATAGAGCAGTAATGAATTTATTTATCTTCAATTTTTCTACTTAAATAATATCAAGTGCAAATTTTGCTACAACATTCCTTTTTAATTTTATTTTTCAATATTATTAATAGAATTTAATGACAATTTATAGCTACTTAGTTTATATAATTTAATGAAAGTTTCGAGAGATGTTGGATAGTCTAAAAATAACCTTCCAATTAAAGTAATTATAAACTAATACTATGTCTATGCATTTAGACTTTTTAAAAACTAGTGTATTCATTTGCAAATATATTAAACAATTTTGAATGATTAAGTATTTATTCGACTAACAAAGATTATAAAATATATCAGTTATATAAGTAAAGTATTTGATACAAATTAAATATTTGTTTTTTTCTTTTGTTTTTATAGATTTTTATAAAAACTTTTAGGCTAATAATGTAAAAAAAGCTTACTATATACGCTTTAAGGTTTAACTTAAATTACAAATATTTTAGAAGATAAAAGTATTTTGTCCTTGCCATTAATTTCATATTTTAAGCATACAGAAATAATATTGACTTTAGACTAACAATTATTAACACCCTACGAAAAAATAGAAAGCAAATAAGATTGTTCATAAAAAACATAAGGTCATTATATAATAATGCTAATGAGATATGTACACGTTTAGAAGAAATTTTGTTTTCCAGTATGCCAAAAAAATGCACGAAATGTTAAAAAGTACCCTGTACGGAAAGGCCATCTTAAGTCTTTCGGCTGTAATAAGACATTACTGCATCCTCAAGCATAATTTTTATTTTTGCAACACTTTCTCATATTTCTTTTACTTAATTTCAATTATTTTATTGATTAACGTGTGAGGGTTGTTTTAATATGCTAATCGGTACCAAATATAATTTTACAATTCAATTTAAAAAACAATTGCTTGTTCAATACAGTGGCAATAACATACAAGCATAGTGAAAATATTCATACCAACAGAGTATACAAATAATTCTTTGAATTTGTTACACTCTGATCTTTACCAAATTTCATTCAAAAAGTCGCTCTATAATTTGATAAATTAAACGACAACGGAGAGCGTAAAAACATATTTTCACTAAGTAAATCTTATATTGGCACTAATTGCATTTTCTTTGCTTAGTTTTTATAAAAAGAATATTTTGATAAGTAATAATGAAAACAATGGGTCACGTTTTTATAGTTCAATACGCAGTTGAATGTAATGACTTTCGTGCCCTTGTACATGTACATCTCCTCATCATCACGGAGTCTGTTGTGTTATTATAATGTCAATACGGTCATCAATTGCTTGTTGTCACTTTTCGTTTACTTTCCTCTTTAGTTACCCTTGGAAAATCGGGAGAAGTAATTTTTATTTTTAACCATCATGTTAATATCGGATGTTTTTATAATAATTTGAAGTAGGTACTTATGGTTTGTTGTTCAAGAAAGAGATAATTATCTCAATAAACCAGATCTTGTTTTAGATTATGAGGGGGTAAAAATGTCTTAAAATTAGATTCTTGAGTGTGTTTTAGCTTACTGTCTGTTTTTTTTTACTTCAAAAATACGCCTAAAAAAAATTGTATTGTCCTTTTTTTTTGAAAATACTTGTCATTGAAACAAAAAATTGACTAATAATTTCCATCTTACAATGTGTACCTGTTCTATTGCCAGTAACATTAAGAACGAATAATATTGAAAATAGTTCAATATATTACTAGAAATATTATGACTTTACAAGTAAGTTACTAATAATAATAACGTAGTCTTTGTTCAACTGAAAATGCAGTGTATGGTTATTTATTCCTGAAAATGTTTCAATGTATAATTATTAACATAGTACAATGGAATATTATATTTCATAGAACGGTATAACACGCGCTCAAGATGATTTGATATTATCTAAACAACGGTGACACAAGTAACCTTGGCTAAGTTTTTAAGTTTACGAAAAATAATACGAATAAATGTATCAAATTGAAGGACACAGTTGCCATTCATTATTTAGTAAATTTCTTCAAAAAATATTGTAGTGAACTTGTGTTCACAGGGGTCGGATTGCAAATTTTGTTTTCGCTACACGTCACATTACAATTGGGCTTAACGTTAATCAACACTTAAACGTTATACAATTTTAATGTTTAAACTTTAAAATAGTTCGAAATATAATTCATAGTTATAAGAAGTTCAATTAAAGAGCAAGTGATTACTTTTTTTTAAACAAGGACTCTTTTAAGTTATGAGTATTATTATTATGTTTAACAACATTCTTGGTTTTATTAAGCGTTATTATTATAACTTTATTCATGACGTTTTCCTGTCCTGTTTAAAAGTAATAACATGAAATTTTAAACATTAACAAATAAAATTTTATTTAATTACAGACGAATTTATGTGTAAGGATTCAAGTCCTGTAATTTTTATTTTTAATATAAAAATTAAGTTTTCATAAACAGAAAATTTAAATGGCGTTCTGATGAACTTTGATGTTTTCTCCTTATGGGTTTAATTATTTTAAAAACTTAAAGAAAATAAATAAATAAATATTAGTTTTATTTTTTTTTAAATGTCCTCTCGTCCAAATTTCCTATGTTGATTCGTCTTAACCTTGTTACCTTATAATAATTATATTAGATTTATATAGCTTTAAGGTAAAAAAAATGTGATTTAATTATTTCAGTATGTTACGCATTCATGATAGTTAAATTGGCTGTAGTTCATTAACTGATATAATTACCATACGTTTCTTTTTGGGTATAATACAGAAAAGAAGCTAAATTTACTTACAATTGAACTATTTGTTTAAGACTTACTTATCATCTACTGATCTTGTTATCTGTGTTTTTCCCGTCTACCCTCACAACAAGCGCTACTTAAATAGGCCCGTTGAACAGATGGCGAGTCGGTTGTGAGGTGTTCTTTCATAATCTTTATTTACTACGATTACTTGTTATCAGACATCCGGACATGAAAGCGACATGACCCTGTGCAAAGCTTTCTGCATCTCGGTGTTTGTGTTGAACCGAAAATAATAGATCGTCTACTATAGTTATGAGTTTAAACTCTAAATGCATACATTTATCACAATCATCCTTGACGATTGCAGCGAGAATCATTGTGAAGGTAAGCCGACAGCATATTAATCGTGATTATGGTCGTTTCACAACTAAATAAAACAAGAATAATTACCAAAAACGTTCACACATTCAATACTGTGAATGAACATAGTAGCTATGGTTGTTATTTGGTCTTTTTGAATAAGCTGTTTACGACTTGAGCCTTATTCAATACTTAATTTGAATTCTTATTCGCTGTAAACATCTATTCAAAAAATAATAATATACTTCATTTATGATTACATACAACTGACTTATGTAAATATAAAACAACTTTAATTCAATTTTAAAGAAATATACAATTAAAATACGTTCATGCCATAGAAATACATTATTGGTAGGAAGTAAAAATCAAAATGTTCTGAAGGCCAGTTTAATTTTTAATTTACTTTCGCTTGAGTTTTTTTTAAATTAATTAAGTGTTTCAAATAGATAAATACGTAATGATTACTTACAATTAAAAAATCGACTTATGTTACTGTCAGACTTCATAAAAATGTTGGTTTATATTAATGACTAATAACTTTCCGTAACTACTACTTTCTATATATCTTATAGGGTCACTATTTTATTCACTTTTTAAGAGCAGAACATTTTTTTTTTCTGAAAAATAGTTTATAATTTAACTTTTCTTTTAGTTAATGGGAGATCTTGTCTATATCTATACATACCAATTAATCTGTCTTGAAAAAGTTGTTAAAATCAATTTTTTTAAATAAGTATTTGTTTTTCATTTTGACGATTTACAATTAGTTACAAATCTTTTTCGGTGTGAGTTTATTAAATAATTACTTTAGTTTTTAAAAATAGATTCATTTTATTTTAAAACATTATATCAACATTTTAAATACACTAACGTGTAAATAAATAATTATTTTGGCGATAATATTGAAACAAAAATTAATTGAACTATTACTAGTTCAGTAGAATATATATAAAGATGAATTTTGGCTAATTCAAAGAAATATTACTTCTTTATTATTAAAATCTAGGAGCTTTATGCAAATAAAATACCCAAAATATGATATATTCTTAAAATATCTCTAGGATATAGTAGTAGATATAGTTATACATATAAATATAATACATTATCCCTAAATAATTGGTTGTTTCCCAATAAGATTGCAATAAGATGTAAAGTAGTTTACAACAAGTCTACTTGTTATAACTAGACTTTTTTAGACATTTCTATTTTATTTGTAGCTAAAAACAACATTTTTAATTTTTGATCTTTAGTAATCACACTTGATTATCTTGATTGGTATTTTCTACAACATAAAAGTCAGCCTTGTCTTACAATATTCTAAATAAATATTCATTGTGTATACATATATTTGAATACATTTTCTTTGTTATACTTTGTACTTTTATAAATACACCTTTATGTTTCATTAATATAACTGATAAAAATCATCAGTTTGAGTTAAGGTTTTTTATTTTGCTGTCCGTCCTTGATCATTATCGCACAATATTTCAATTTTATTTCAAAAGTTCAATAAAGTTTAATGAATTTAGATTATAATTTACAAGGATTTTACAATGGACCGTGCAACTAATTAAAAATAATAATTGTAAAATAGATGTTTTTAATATAAATTACATGTCATGTAATTTACATTAACATCACATTTTACTGTTTTAGCTTATCTTTAAAAAAATAAACTTGGATATTTTTGTTTACATTTTTTAATAATCGTAATAATTAATTTCATTTTTTTTAAATTAATTAAGTAGGATATATCTGCATATTAGTTCATATCAGTACGCTTATGACGTAAAAATCATAGCCGATAAATGGCTCAAAAACATGTTTTTTTTTTTTGTTTTATATATTTAACCACAATTCCATCCGATCATGTGTTGTATACATAATGTAACTATAGACTCGATCTTCCAACGCACGTATGGGTATAAAAGTGTTTTTATTTTTATACATTTTAGTCACTGATTATTTTAGCATGAAGCGCTGTCGCATTATGTGTTTCCTTATGTTCTTCTTGTCATAAGTATTTTATGCTTATTATAATTCATCTCTTGGTCGCGAATGTGTATACAATAGCTCGCAGATCATATAAATTCGGTAAATCTGACATTTTTCTGTTTATAAAATGTTTATAGTTCAATTAAATTCGATGACCTAGACATCAGGGCTGAGCGATAAGCATAACAAGCAGGTTTCCGACTTCTCAACACGGTAAGTACTTTTATCGAATGCGAAAAAAATTGCTACCATCAACGGCCTTAAGATAGTGGAATATTAATATGTGCAATAAAACATTAATTGGGTTGCGAATGGATGTGATCGACGGGAACCGATTGACACATTGTTACTCAACTAGAACTAATTTATAATTATTCGATTTGTCTAAACGATAGCACATGAAAAATTCTTCCGGATTAAAATTTAATACAGTTTTCAATAGTCTTATAATTTGCATTTAACTAAACAACATTCATACATAATACAATGAAATATCGAGCGATGGATTGTTATTATGCACATATTACAATAATTATTGTTTTTGTTCAATAGTATAACGATACACAGTAATAGTAATAATATTAGCATTGAGATTTGGTACGAGATCTTTACCTACACAAAATCTCATGGTGATGGATAATTATCGCTTTAAAGTAGGCTATAGAGAATTTTTGCCAGGAAATTCTGCTGTTTTAATAGCATGTTAGCTCATTGAACTATCGATTAAAGCAAAACATATTATACATATATAAGACAATTTATTGCGGTTTTCAGGATGCTATAAAACTCAAATAAGTCCTTCGAATTGAAATCCTATTTCCTAGCAATTTGAACGACTCGCGATGTTTACCATGTGGATTAATTAGTGCAACCCTAACCGTGTGTTAAAATTACAGCATAGTTTAAACCGAACACTGAAGACGAATTCGTGTAAATGTATCATGGTAAATATCAATGGCTTTGTTAAGATAATGATCAAAAAAAAAGTGTTCGCCTACAATATTTAGCCGATTAGAATTCATGTTATTGCCAAAATAGCCTGGCAGGCTTTCAATAAAAAAACGATTAAAAGGCTTATGCGTTTTGCTTCGTTGCGGAGTTAATATTTTATAAACTTGTACGCGCGACGCCTCTGTGTCTGATCTCATTGCTTTTGGGCGGTATTTAGTGAAATGGTTGTAGATCGTATCAATGTCGATCTGTAAATTATAATTCAATGCCCTCTGGTGGTACTGACCAAAAGGTTGTTCAAGAGTCAATTGACACTGAAGTGTTTTTTATCGGGTCGGGCGTGTTAACTTTCCGTATAGTAAGCAACATTGCAGATGAAATTATTTTAATGTATTCCGCCGAGTAGCTGTCTCAGTGTAATATCGTCATTTACTTTTATTTTATTACTATAAATGGTATTTCGACGATTTTACAAAATAATGTTATCTTCTGCTCTTAATATTACAGTTTTCATTTTCATTCGAGTCAGTACGAGTGTCAAATACAATATAATTCACCTAAAATGTTTTGATTTGAGATTATTATTTTATTAAAATACTAATACAACAAAACTATAGTAAAAAATTCTTTTAGTATTTCTGTACGATAGAAGTTTAATTTTATATTCTTACTTTACCTGTTTCCTCATTATAAATTTATTGCTTGTTATTTTATTGATTTTTATGGTCTTGTTCCTGTTCAAATTAGTATAATTTTTAGTAAATATAAACGATATAGTCAATCTACGACAAATAATAAAAACAATCTTCAATAAAAACATATTAATGCTGTGAAACAGATTATAAAACGGGTTAAGTTATGCATATAGTCAACAATTACAACAGATATCATTACTGCGTAATTAGATTAAAAGATTTCGGACTCTTATTACCAAAATAATATATTAAGTTTATTGACTTCAAACTAGCGATATTTCAAACAGAATAATTAACCATTGCGCGTTATATATCTTTCTAATTAACATTGATGTTTTTTTTTTGTATTCCGCATAAAAAATGAAATCACTGATTAGAAATATGTATACTTTGAAATATATTTTTTATAAATAGTATGTTTAATTATTACTCAATACTATGAATTACATTAAAAACGAAAACATTTTTGCTATTTTAAATTTAAGATGAAAAACTACTTTTATTTATATCCAGAAATGCAGAATTCTTGTTATAACAATGCGTCACTAAGTATTTTTTATGAATTGGCATGGTTTAGAACAAATAGTTTTGTCTAATATTTTAAACTTTTATAAAATTTCACTGTAAATTATTAACATAAATTTTAACTCGTAAAAATTTCTTCGTCTACTTTTGTACCAATGAAATAAGAGAAAGTTTTGTTCAGCGATTATATTCAAAATTTTAATTTCAAAACTCTATAAAAAAATTATCAGTTTAGAACATAGTGTGCCTTTTTTAAAGAAAGTAAAATTACCCTGTCACAGAAAACACAAGCAGTAGTGCCGACACTTATATACATGTGTTGTGCTTAAATATATTTACTGTGTGGTTCATTAAGTATACTACCCCCATTTTTTCGTTAAATAATAATTTTTTCATAAAAATGTATAGATTAAAATTTGGTTTATTTTTATAAGCCATTATAAATATTAAGTTTATAATAAGAAAGAACTATTCCTAAATGAAGATTTTAGGGGCACTTTTGGAAGTTAATTAGGAATCATTATTATTTTACTATTAAATGGAGAATGGTCTAGATAAAATTGTGAGCGGTCGATAGTTTTGTATTATTACTTTTTGACTTATTGTAATTTTTAGTTATAGACGAGCGGGGAATTCTTTTCTGTACGATATGGTAAAACCAGAGCGTTGCTAAAAACTACCACTACTCAAAGTAATAAAATGCTAATTTCTTAAAAATGAATACTACAAAAGTTTCTACTAGTAAAAATTTTATTTAAACAATATTTAATAGAAAAAAAATAGCGATTTTGACTGATTCTACAAACGGAGGTTGGTCGATTAATAATTTTTTATTAAGAATAAATTAAACATCATATTCAATTCAAATATAATTTCTAAATTTATAATTAAATAAAATACTTTCGAAAAAATAATAATAATAATATTTATTCTTCTTTAATAAACCATCTTTTCGCGCATAATTCCGGACAAAATAAATTCGATGTTTCACATCTGACAGACTCATGTTTTTTTTTTTTAATATCTTCATAAAACGTCGATACGATTTCAAAGAAATTTTTCCATACTGGAAGAACATTTTGCATAAAACATATTATTATTATATCTAATGGCCGACCCCAAGTAGTTGGGATTACGGCGAGGAAAAAGAAGAAAGACGACATATTGACTAATGTTATCGAGAACTTATTAGTAATATATTTTTTCTAGCGTTTCAATGAAATGAGAAAACTGTGAAAACTGCCGGCGTTTTGTACGGGCTCGTGTTGCATTGATATGAATGTTTTTTAAGTGTACTTACGCTTAAGTATCGCTACTGCTTCGCTAGAGACCACTCCAGAGCGGTGTGTGTGTGTGTGAGTGTGTATGGTGTTGTGGAGGAAGGCCGGCCGCAGGTGGTGACCTCGGCATTGAAGTCTTTTCGCCGGAGACGCCGCCGTTCAACAGTTATCACATGTACAACTTCCTGACCGATGGAAAACTAGCTCGCCGTCGGTCTGTTCGTTTGCAGCTACATAGCAAATTGCATTGTTTTTCAGCGATCCTTCACTTTCGCACGTTTACACCACACGAACCGGTCAAA